TACAAGGACTCATTGAGAGCACTATAATACAAAACGAATATTATATAATTTTGAATAATCAGAGGAGTTAACCATGCTTGGATTATCTTGCAAAACATATTTTTTGGTTGTTTCCCTTTGTCCATAAACAATTCAAAACAAAGCCTTCAGTTAAAAAACAAAAATGATAATACTCTATGAAATGCGTGAATATTTCACAAACTTTGTTTACAAAGAATAACGCTCTTTTATAAAACAAGGTCACAGTTCTAAAAATAACTTTGTAATCAGAGGAAACCTTTCTGTACAGATTCGTCACCTTACATATCGGAGAGAGAATGTTATGCTTACATATCGGAGAGAGAATGTTATACTTACATATCGGAGAGAGAATGTTATATATCGAAGAGAGAATGTTATACTTACATATCGGAGAGAGAATGATATCCTTACATATCGGAGAGAGAATGTTATACTTACATATCGGAGAGAGAATGTTAGACTTACATATCGGAGAGAGAATGTTAGACTTACATATCGGAGAGAGAATGTTATACTTACATATCGGAGAGAGAATGTTATATATCGAAGAGAGAATGTTATACTTACATATCGGAGAGAGAATGATATCCTTACATATCGGAAAGAGAATGTTATACTTACATATCGGAGGGGAGAATGTTATATATCGAAGAGAGAATGTTATACTTACATATCGGAGAGAGAATGATATCCTTACATATCGGAAAGAGAATGTTATACTTACATATCGGAGAGAGAATGATATCCTTACATATCGGAGAGAGAATGTTATACTTACATATCGGAAAGAGAATGTTATACTTACATATCCGAGAGAGAATGTCATACTTACATATCGGAGAGAGAATGTTATACTTACATATCGGAGAGAGAATGTTATACTTACATATCGCAGAGAGAATGTCATACTTACATATCGGAGAGAGAATGTCATACTTACATATCGGAGAGAGAATGTCATACTTACATATCGGAGAGAGAATGTCATACTTACATATCGGAGAGAGAATGTTATACTTACATATCGGAGAGAGAATGTTATACTTACATATCGGAGAGAGAATGTTATACTTACATATCGGAGAGAGAATGTTATACTTACATATCGGAGAGAGAATGTTATACTTACATATCGGAGAGAGAATGTTATACTTACATATCGGAGAGAGAATGTTAGACTTACATATCGGAGAGAGAATGTTATGCTTACATATCGGAGAGAGAATGTTATACTTACATATCGGAGAGAGAATGTTATACTTACATATCGGAGAGAGAATGTTAGACTTACATATCGGAGAGAGAATGTTAGACTTACATATCGGAGAGAGAATGTTATACTTACATATCGGAGAGAGAATGTTATATATCGAAGAGAGAATGTTATACTTACATATCGGAGAGAGAATGATATCCTTACATATCGGAAAGAGAATGTTATACTTACATATCGGAGAGAGAATGTTATATATCGAAGAGAGAATGTTATACTTACATATCGGAGAGAGAATGATATCCTTACATATCGGAAAGAGAATGTTATACTTACATATCGGAGAGAGAATGATATCCTTACATATCGGAGAGAGAATGTTATACTTACATATCGGAAAGAGAATGTTATACTTACATATCCGAGAGAGAATGTCATACTTACATATCGGAGAGAGAATGTTATACTTACATATCGGAGAGAGAATGTTATACTTACATATCGCAGAGAGAATGTCATACTTACATATCGGAGAGAGAATGTCATACTTACATATCGGAGAGAGAATGTCATACTTACATATCGGAGAGAGAATGTCATACTTACATATCGGAGAGAGAATGTTATACTTACATATCGGAGAGAGAATGTTATACTTACATATCGGAGAGAGAATGTTATACTTACATATCGGAGAGAGAATGTTATACTTACATATCGGAGAGAGAATGTTATACTTACATATCGGAGAGAGAATGTTATACTTACATATCGGAGAGAGAATGTTAGACTTACATATCGGAGAGAGAATGTTAGACTTACATATCGGAGAGAGAATGTTATACTTACATATCGGAGAGAGAATGTTATATATCGAAGAGAGAATGTTATACTTACATATCGGAGAGAGAATGATATCCTTACATATCGGAAAGAGAATGTTATACTTACATATCGGAGAGAGAATGTTATATATCGAAGAGAGAATGTTATACTTACATATCGGAGAGAGAATGATATCCTTACATATCGGAAAGAGAATGTTATACTTACATATCCGAGAGAGAATGTCATACTTACATATCGGAGAGAGAATGTTATACTTACATATCGGAGAGAGAATGTTATACTTACATATCGCAGAGAGAATGTCATACTTACATATCGGAGAGAGAATGTCATACTTACATATCGGAGAGAGAATGTCATACTTACATATCGGAGAGAGAATGTCATACTTACATATCGGAGAGAGAATGTTATACTTACATATCGGAGAGAGAATGTTATACTTACATATCGGAGAGAGAATGTTATACTTACATATCGGAGAGAGAATGTTATACTTACATATCGGAGAGAGAATGTTATACTTACATATCGGAGAGAGAATGTTATACTTACATATCGGAGAGAGAGCCCATGATAAAGGATCCAGCCAACATGCCACCCATGTAGAACATGTTCGCGTATGTTCTTAGACTGACCTGCTCACACACCATGTTGACCTGTGGGCACGTGACGTGTTGAGGTCAAATGTAAGTATATACCGTTACACATTCTCATGGGTTTTCAAAGATAATAGGCCCTTCGTTAAAGTACTACAGTATCTAATGGTCGGGTGGGTACAGCTCATGATTGCTCAGCTGAAAAGTCCTGCTCATTAGTTGGGAACGATAACCCATCTTGGAAAAAAAACAACAGCTGCCTTGTAGTTTGTTCTTGGATAGATAAAAGCTATCAAAAGCAAATCCAACAAGTAAACTAGCAATCAGCGATCAGTCAACCAGTTAACACGTAATACTTGATTGTGTTGGTGGAAGTGGTGGGGACTTCTGGTCATTTTTGTATCTCATTGATAGCTGAAGACGATATTTTTCCCACCATTTTATCCGTGAAACCTGAACTGTTGTCCCATTGTAGCCTTTTTCCATTGAAAACGTTTCTTTATATATATATATATATATATATATATATATATATATATATATATATATATATATATATATATATATATATATATATATATATATATTTACCTCCGTAACAAAAGTAGGCCTAAAGCCTCACCTCCGTAACAAAAGTAGACCTAAAGCCTCACCTCCGTAACAAAAGTAGACCTAAAACCTCACCTCCGTAACAAAAGTAGACCTAAAGCCTCACCTCCGTAACAAAAGTAGACCTAAAACCTCACCTCCGTAACAAAAGTAGACCTAAACGTCTCCCTACTGTAGACCCATCTGTCACACCGTGACGTCACGTTGCTTGAGCCGGTCTTGTAGAGTTGACACTGGGAGAACCTGTTCTGCTCACTCTGCCATGGAATTGATTGGTTCACTAGAGTCACGTGCCACTCACCTTGACTTTCGTACGTGTCGTTCTCCAGACCAGGGATCGCACACCTGGGGGGATGGATAGAAATATTCATAAATGTTTTTTTTAAATATACCATCAAGATCTGGAACTTACCTGTGTTATGGCCACCCATCATGAGCTGGAACTTACCTGTGTTATGGGATGGCCACCCATCTTAACCTGGAATTTACCTGTGTTCTGGGATGGCCACCTATCATGAGCTGGAACTTACCTGTGTTCTGGAATGGCCAGTGTAAAGACGCCCATCATGACCTGGAACTCGCCAAAGATGGCCATGAGACAGACCATGAAATAAATTCTCTTTTGGTAGGAGCCAAACTCTCCCAGCTGTGTGATGACATCATCAAACCTCATGGTGAAGCAGACGACCAACTCACAGCAGAAAACTTTATTGAAACGTATCCAGGGCACTTGCGATTTTTGTGGGGCAGTTTTTGTTGTTTTATTAACAAAACGTTATCGTCACTGCTTCTGTTATATCATGCTCTAAGTAAGGTAATTCATTATTATAAACGTCACAGACTTAATTCATGTATATGCAACAGTACGTCACGCACTAAATTCATACACACACAAGTGTATGTGCCGCAAACAACAAATGACACATTCTTTTTTTCACGCATCATTTGTTGCGCCATTTTATTTAAGATGTAGATGTAAGCCATTGGGGGTGTAGATGTAAGCAATAGGGGGTGTTGATGTAAGCCATTGGGGGTGTAGATGTAAGCAATAGGGGGTGTTGATGTAAGCAATAGGGGGTGTTGATGTAAGCAATAGGGGGTGTTGATGTAAGCAATAGAGGTGTAGATGTAAGCAATAGGGGGTGTTGATGTAAGCAATAGGGGGTGTTGATGTAAGCAATAGGGGTGTAGATGTAAGCAATAGGGGATGTAGGTGTAAGCAACAAGGGGTGTAGGTGTAAGCAATAGGGGGTGTAGATGTAAGCAATTGGGGGTGTAGATGTAAGCAATTGGGGGATGAAGATGTAACCAATGGTAGCTGAAGATGTAGACCACCTTCTTACCTGTTGCATCACATGTCCGTTAAAATTTAATAATATAATTTTTAGAAACTCCCCATCCTTCCGCCCCCTCCCCCCCTACCGTCAATTATTTGAATCATATAAAGGTTAGCGCCAAACGGCCATAATGACCGTATGGGTATAAGCCCCTTAACAAAACTCCATCCCAACACAAAAAGTTTGTGAACATGAAGAAGTCGTTTTGGTTGTGAGAGTTTTAGAAGTTTTGTCGTCAGCTTGTTTTAATTAAATTTTTTAATTAAAAGAAAACTTAATCAATGTTAACTAATTAAGACCAGTCGTTAATTTTCTTAAATTAACAAATTACTCCAGGATCGAAACGTGTAAAAATAGACACATTTATAGAGTAAGCTTTGAGTCGAGTCTAGCAGGAGTTTGTGAGTGACCGTTGACTGTCTTTTCTGGGAAAGTAGCGAGGGAAATATTTAATTAACCTCATGAATTTGACAGATTTAATTTAGTGCGAGGCATTTTATTTCAGTTGCCATACAATAATGGCGCTTCCCATGTTGAGAAATTGCATCTTACTTACCTGTGTGTTCTTAAACTGTCTAGGTAAGGTTTGTTTCGAGACAATTCTTCTTATTTACCTTTTGTGTTCTTAAACTGTCTAGGTAAGGTTTCACCTTCATGTTGGTTTTCATTATAACATGTGAGTCTAAGAACGTGAATGTAAGTTTTGATCTGCATGGTTGTCCCGAATATGTTGTATGCAGTATGTCACTCGTGAAGTTGTATTTCATCTCATACAGCTACTGCGTATGTATATTTTCTTCATGTTATATTGTCAATATGTTAAAGGGTCAATCTGTTATATAATCAAATGGCTGAATAGTTTAATCAAGAATATTTTAATTATAATTTAACCAACGTTCGCTATCAATCATGTCACACTTGGTATGTGTTATGTAACTACTGTCAGTGTTATGTCACAACTGTCATGTCAGTGTTATGTCACAACTGTCATGTCAGTGTTATGTCACAACTGTCATGTCAGTCTTATATCACAACTGTCATGTCAGTCTTATGTCACAACTGTCATGTCAGTCTTATGTCACAACTGTCATGTCAGTCTTATGTCACAACTGTCATGTCAGTCTTATGTCACAACTGTCATGTCAGTGTTATGTCACAACTGTCATGTCAGTCTTATGTCACAACTGTCATGTCAGTCTTATGTCACAACTGTCATGTCAGTTTTATGTCACAACTGTCATGTCAGTGTTATGTCACAACTGTCATGTCAGTCTTATGTCACAACTATCATGTCAGTCTTATGTCACAACTGTCATGTCAGTCTTATGTCACAACTGTCATGTCAGTCTTATGTCACAACTGTCATGTCAGTGTTATGTCACAACTTTTCTACTTCAGCCGTCAAGCTCGAGCTAGTGGCCAACCCAGACGTTGTCAAGTCAAGCGTGACGAAACAGCTGCAGGTCAACTGTACTTTCACGGTCAGTCGGTCAGTCGGTCAGTCGGTCAGTCAGTCTGTCAGTCTGTCTGTCTGTCTGTCTGTCTGTCTGTCTGTCTGTCTGCCTGTCTGTCTGTCTGTCTGTCTGTCTGTCTGTCTGTCTGTCTGTCTGTCTGTCTGTCTGTCTGTCTGTCTGTCTGTCTGTCTGTCTGTCTGTCTGTCTGTCTGTCTGTCTGTCTGTCTGTCTGTCTGTCTGTCTGTCTGTCTGTCTGTCTGTCTGGCTGTCTGTCTGTCTGTCTGTCTGTCTGTCTGTCTGTCTGTCTGTCTGTCTGTCTGTCTGTCTGTCTGTCTGTCTGTCTGTCTGTCTGTCTGTCTGTCTGTCTGTCTGTCTGTCTGTCTGTCTGTCTGTCAGTAAGTCAGTCAGTCAGCCAGTCAGTCAGTCAGCCAGTCAGTCAGTCATCTTTGTAATTTGTTATACAAACGTCTAGCATGCCCTGACCATATTTCACTTTCTCCAATGTTAAACCTACCTCTGTGTGTTGATATCTTTCACATTTTACCTGATCCTATTGCCAGTTTTGTGCTTGCTATAATCCTTTAAAACTTTTTGTCTCTTAAAATATGTTCTAGTTTTAACAACAAAAATCTTACATCCATTTTGTTTTCTTAGTTTTCAGAAGATGATGATGTCAAGAAAATGTATACTATAGCCATTAGTCGAGGTCAGTCCCTTTGTTGATATTCTATTAATAGCACCAAGCTGACCTTTACAAGTGGTGTGGGCAGGGGGTGGACCCCTAAATGTGGATTTTTTTTTACTTTAACGTTTGGCGACTGTGCGTTAGTGTCACTTCATGAATACCATTTCAAAACATTGTGTTTCAAAAACAACATTTTATATATAAAATGTACACTTATATGAAAAGACTTTTAAAATATTCAATCTCCTCAAAAAAAAAGAAATCTGCCCCCCCCCCCCACCCCAACTTCCTGCCTACGTTACTGATCTTCACATTTTAGTTTGATTACTCTAGTTTAAAGAGGTATTCCGTTGTTCAAAAAACGTATTGATATAGAATTTATTGTGTCATTTCTAATTAGTAACTCAAGTTGTTTTTTTTTTAGCTCCATGTAAAATTGTTCATGTTTAGGAAAAGGTGAAATGGTCGCTTCCCTGTCGGCGTTCAACCCTGCTCGGCCATTGACGGACCAGGAGTCACTCTCTGTGGCAGGTGAAATAATCACAGCGGCCAAGAACACCATTGGTTATCTAAACCTGACGTGGCCCAATCCAGGTCAGCGTCAGGCGGGAACCTACGTCTGCACCGTCAACGCTTTAAACTTTGCGTGGGACGGGATCACCTTCCGGACCAACTTGACCGTTCCGCTCGTGGAACCAACGGACCGTGAACTGTTTGAGTTCAAGACATCCCAGCTGGAGGACATGGCCAGGGAATTTAGGGCGAGCAGGGATGAAAATATGAAGAGAATTTCTCAAACGGAAGAGGTCATAAGACAGATGACCTTGAGGCTGTACCAAGGTGAGGCGAAGGTCAAGGCGCTGGAAGAGAGACTGAACGAGACTCTGGTCAAGATTTCGGACCTGGAGAAAACGCTGGAGGGACTAAACTCAAGCCAGATTGTGACGTCACTACCGCGCGTGGAGGGAGGAATCGTGGAGTGCGGGGACTCCAAGACCTACTACAACTTCAGGGACTCTCAGAACCACCGACGTGTCGTCAAGCAGGTGACCTTCACCTCCCAGTACAAGGCGATCCCTACCGTTTTTCTCTCAGTGTATCAGTTAGACGTAACCTCCAACCAGAGCCTCAACAAGACCCTCAACCCAAACGTCAAGTTTTACTTCTACCCCTCCAACATCTCGCTCACAGGCTTCGATCTCGTCTGTGGCACGTGGGACAACAGTTCTATTTATAGCATGAACGTCAACTGGGTCGCCATTTTGTTTTAACGTCTGACCTAATTAAATTGTCTGTTTAGCGTCATTTGTTTCAGTCTCAACTATAAAAATGTTTGGTAAACAGAAATCAATAAAATGCTATAAATAGCTGATATAAGACGATATTTGTGTTTGCTTTAATGGGTAAACAAGTGTCGATGTTGGGTCTATAATAGATTGACGATAGAAGCATGTGGTTGTATATAAAACGTTTATTGGGCCTTCAACTACATGATGGTAAGAGAGAGGGCGGAAGTCACGAGACACTTATATACATAAACATGTAAGGGACATCACTCAAGATAACATTATAAATATAATACTAATACAGAAGAGTGAGTTCCCTTGACTTCACAAGTCTCACTATATTACATCCCTTTACCCTTAGTAAACACAACACATCTCTCAATAGAACAATTTACAGTATCCTAAAATCACCAATTATATTGTAACATGAACACTATGGTAGATTACATCCTTACAAACAATGCACAATATGTTACCACATAATTAAAATACAAAACAATGATGTCAAAGTCCTTTTGACCTTTAAAATCATAGGTCTAACTTATTTGGGACTTTGATTGTCCTGCTTGACCTTCTCAGTGGCTTTTGATTTGGTGACTCAAGATTCTGACCATCTGGATTCTCTATCTCAGGAGGTCTAGGATTTAAATCATTAACTCCAGAATTTACATTTTCTGACTCCAGACAACTTGGTTCACTCATATCAACAGAACTTGGTTGTGGAACAAACTGAGTTGGTGTGAACTGTTCATATTTGGTGGAATTGACAGATTCACACTTATTATCTGCACAAGTTATTTTTAACTTTATAAGGCACAGGTCCTGTACATTGAACAATTTGACCTGGTATCCATTTTTCCCTTCTCCCATAATTTCTTAGATACACATTCTCATTAACACCAAATTCTCTTTCAATGGGTGATGTGTCAAGATTTACTTTTTGAATTGGCATCTGGAAGTATTATGCTATTATTCAGATCCTTAACTGGCATAGATTTCTTTGATTGATCAATTTTCTCAGGTAATCTGATAGTGCTTGTTGGTAACCAAAAATACTGTTTAAAAGTACTATTCTGGACCATATCACTTTGCAACTGTGATCCAGTATTTGAAGTGGGTGTATTAAATTAGTTGTTGGGTATTTTCAGGTTTGGGTGCTTCTTTAATGGCTTTTGTTTTCTCAGGTTGAGGTCTGATGCCTTGCTTGCTTAATATATAACCAAGAAAACTAATTTCTGTCAGCATGAATTGACATTTATCTTTGTTTATCTTTAAACCTTTTTCACCAACTATTTTCAAGACTTTATCAAGTGTTTTAAGATGTTCAGTGTCATTCTTACCAGTTATGTACACATTGTCAAAGTAAACACAAACATTTGGAATGTCCTTAAAAATACTGTCCATGACAGCTTGGAAAATTCCAGGGCTAGATGATATGCCAAAACATAGTCTTTCATATTGGTAGAGTCCTTTATGTGTGTTTATTGTCGTATAGACTTTTGAATCTGGATGCAGTTCTAGTTGAGTGTAAGCATGACTAAAGTCTAATTCAGTGAATTTGTCTCCTCCTGCCAAATTCAAAGAAATTTCCTCAATGTTAGGAATAGGATACCTATTTAGCTCTATTTGCTTATTCAGTGTGGCTTTGTAGTCTCCACAAATTCTTATAGAACCATCCTTCTTTAACACTGGCACAATGGGCGTTGCCCAATCGGAATAGTCTACCTTCTTTATGATGCCATTAGATTCCAATCTACTTAGCTCATTTTCAATTTTATCCCTCATTGCATAAGGTGGAACTCTAGCTTTGCAGTATCTTGGATTTGTGTCTTTAATGCTTATCTTCACTGTTCTATCATTTAGTAAACCTGAATTGCCAAAAACACTTTTATTTTCAGATATTACTTTATTTATTGAAGTAAGACTAGATTCTCTTGTATTGATCAATGAACATATACTCTCCCAATTTAACTTAAGATCAACTAACCAGTTCCTACCTAGTAATGGTGGTCCATTTCCTTCAACCCCAAGAATAGGAAGTTTAACACTTTGACCATTATAACTTACATGAACCATACACTCTCCTATTACCGGAACATTGTCACCAGTGTATGTTGTTAGGCACTTGTGACATGGCTGTAGAGGCACTGATCCTCCTGTGACAGCGTCAAAGTCCTTCTTTGTGATGACTGTTAGAGATGCTCCAGTGTCAAGTTGGAAGCTGATGCTCTTACCGTTGATATTAACTTGTACATTGATGGGAGCATGACTTATTGATTTCACAGAGAACAGGCTGAAATCCGGCTGCGAATCAGTTTGAGCATTTTCACAGGTAGAGTGGTTCATTGGTTGGGTTAGGTAGTCTTGGTGAGAGTTAACATAGTGCTGCCTTTGGTTGCGGTACTGTCTTGACTGGCTAGATTTAGCAACAGACGAAGACTTTGCAAAGCAGGCCTTGGCAATGTGACCTTGCTTACTGCACTTATAACAAGTTGCTAACTTGAAATTGCATCGATGAGATGCATGGGGACCTTTGCATCGATGACATTTTTGATAATTATTACTAGATTTAGATCTAGGCTTTAAACGTGCAGGCTGTTTAGCATAAGTTGGAATGCTCTGATGGGGTTGGTGTTTGTTGACTAACCTGCTGTTTACTGCATGGATCTCTGAAGGCGTTAGAGATTTTGCCGCATCTGATGACTGCTGGAATGAAGTTGCGAGTTGTATTGCTTTTTCCAATGTTAGATCTGACTCGAGCAGCAACTTTCTTTGTACATCAGGACTGTTTACACCTGTCACAAACTTTTCACATAGTCTGTCAGACAGCGTGTCTCCGAATTCACAAAATTCACTTAAATGACGTAAAGCAGCAACATATTCTGATATTGACTCGTTTGGTTGACGAGTCCTACTGTCAAATCTAGCTCGACATAGAAACTTTGATGGGGTAGGCGCATGGTGGTCTGTTAGCAATTTGCTCAGCTCGTTAAAGCTCTTGGTAGTTAGACTAGCTGGTGCGCATAAGTCCTTTAGTAGCCTAAATTGTTGAGGCCCTATGACTGTTAACAACACAGCTCTCTTTTTGGCCTCTATCGTCACGTTGTTTGCTTCAAGGTAAAAGCTTAACCTATCTAGATAATCCTGAATGATTTCATCATTCGAATCAAATTCTTTTATTTGGCCATATAGCGCCATTATCCTAGAAATACTTAGCTAATATGCTCTAGCAAACCTCTTTTTTGCGTAAGTAGGTGCTCTTTCTAGTGGATTATTTATCCTTCGTCGCCAATATAATAGATTGACGATAGAAGCATGTGGTTGTATATAAAACGTTTATTGGGCCTTCAACTACATGATGTTAAGAGAGAGGGCGGAAGTCACGAGACACTTATATACATAAACATGTAAGGGACATCACTCAAGATAACATTATAAATATAATACTAATACAGAAGAGTGAGTTCCCTTGACTTCACAAGTCTCACTATATTACAGGGTCGAAATAATAAAATGAAATTCCAATCTTAAATTCTTGCAATGGCGACTTGAAATTAAAATTTGTTGAGCTGGCTTTTCCCCGTTGATACGCTCTGTTGCCCCGTTAAGTAGAGTCCTAGTTTAGCTAGACGCAGGCTTTCAAGGGGGAGGGGGGGGAGATTCCATGTTCAAATGCTTGAGATTAGTTTTAATAACCAGTCATATAGGGCAAGCCAATTTTCTGATGGCTTGTTTCTCACGATCTAGGTCTACATCAGTTTTTTTTTTTAATTACTGAGGTTTACCTGGTGCGACTCCAGTGATATACGCGCGCTGTTGTCAACAACTTACTCTTTACAAACTGTAGATTTATCCTTGTGGATTCCAATACACAAACCGACATTTAAGTTTCATACACAATTTTTATTTTTATTTTACGAACATAACGGTCCAAATATTCTGACGTATTTTTATCTGACTTTTTTATTTATTGTTAAAGCATCCAATTTAAGACGTTATTTTAGTTAGCTATAATTTAATATTTGATTTACAATTTGGACACGTTTATTCAACACACAGTATGTTGGTTCAATCAACTATCGACTCCTTCTGACATAATCATATGAGCACAGATTGTAGCATAACTTTAAATACAAAATGACGTTCGGTAAAAGTTCAATTATTGGGTATTTCAGTCAAGTTTTTGAGAAACGTTTGGTCAATGTGGCGGGATGACTTGGTACTGTTCGAATCGCTAATGACGTAAGTTTAATTAAATTTTAAATAGACTAATAAATGTGTTTAAAAGCGTGTTCGGGGACATAAATGATCGAACTTATTGATTTCAACATAAATGATCGAAATTATTGATTTCAACATAAATGATCAAACTTATTGATTTCAACATAAATGATCGAACTTATTGATTTCAACATAAATGATCGAACTTTTTGATTTCAACATAAATGATCGAACATTTATTTCAACATAAATGATCGAACTTATTGATTTCAACATTAATGATCGAACTTATTGATTTCAACATAAATGATCGAACTTATTGATTTCAACATAAATGATCGAACTTTTTGATTTCAACATAAATGATCGAACATTGATTTCAACATAAATGATCGAACTTATTGATTTCAACATTAATGATCGAACTTATTGATTTCAACATAAATGATCGAACTTATTGATTTCAACATAAATGATCGAACTTATTGATTTAAACAGATATTGGTGACAGGATCTCTACTGATTTTTGTGATAGGCATTTTGACTAGGCCCACGTTAGGGATAGTGACATAGGGTCAACGTTAGTGACTTAGCTAAGGTAGAGGACAGTACGAAAATAGCATCGACTCGGTACCGAATTTCCATGCATATTATGATTGATTCTTAAGGTTTTTAAATCTGTATTTAATTCCCAGCGTCTCTTTCAGCGGCGTAACTACTGCATAGCAAGCATAAGTAAGGCATTAGGGCCCTAGAAACACAGGGGCCCTAGAAACACAGGGGCCCTAGAAACACAGGGCCCTAGAAACACAGGGCCCTAGAAACACAGGGCCCTTAGAAACACAGAGCCCTTAGAAACATAGGGCCCTTAGAAACACAGGGCCCTTAGAAACATAGGGCACTAGAAACACAGGGCCCTTAGAAACACAGGGGCACTAGAAACACAGGGGCCCTAGAAACACAGGGGCCCTAGAAACACAGGGGCCCTAGAAACACAGGGCCCTTAGAAACATAGGGCACTAGAAACACAGGGGCCCTAGAAACACAGGGGCCCTAGAAACACAGGGCCCTAGAAACACAGGGGCCCTAGAAACACAGGGGCACTGGAAACACAGGGGCCCTAGAAACACAGGGCCCTTAGAAACACAGGGCCCTTAGAAACATAGGGCACTAGAAACACAGGGCCCTTAGAAACACAGGGGCACTAGAAACACAGGGGCCCTAGAAACACAGGGGCCCTAGAAACACAGGGGCACTGGAAACACAGGGGCCCTAGAAACACAGGGCCCTTAGAAACACAGGGCCCTTAGAAACATAGGGCACTAGAAACACAGGGCCCTTAGAAACACAGGGGCACTAGAAACACAGGGGCCCTAGAAACACAGGGGCCCTAGAAACACAGGGCCCTTAGAAACATAGGGCCCTTAGAAACACAGGGCCCTTAGAAACACAGGGGCCCTAGAAACACAGGGGCCCTAGAAACACAGGGGCCTTAGAAACACAGGGGCCCTAGAAACACAGGGGCCCTAGAAACACAGGGGCCCTAGAAACACAGGGCCCTTAGAAACATAGGGCCCTTAGAAACACAGGGCCCTTAGAAACACAGGGGCCCTAGAAACACAGGGGCCCTAGAAACACAGGGCCCTTAGAAACATAGGGCCCTTAGAAACACAGGGGCACTAGAAACACAGGGGCCCTAGAAACACAGGGGCCCTAGAAACACAGGGGCCCTAGAAACACAGGGCCCTTAGAAACATAGGGCCCTTAGAAACACAGGGGCACTAGAAACACGGGGGCCCTAGAAACACAGGGGCACTAGAAACACAGGGGCCCTAGAAACACAGGGGCACTAGAAACACAGGGGCCCTAGAAACACAGGGCACTAGAAACACAGGGGCCCTAGAAACACAGGGGCCCTAGAAACACAGGGGCCCTAGAAACACAGGGGCACTGGAAACACAGGGGCCCTAGAAACACAGGGGCCCTAGAAACACAGGGGCCCTAGAAACACAGGGCCCTTAGAAATACAGGGCCCTTAGAAACACAGGGGCACTAGAAACACAGGGGCCCTAGAAACACAGGGCCCTTAGAAACACAGGGCCCTTAAAACACAGGGCCCTTAGAAACACAGGGCCCTTAGAAACATAGGGCCCTTTTTCCTCTATGACGAATATAAAATGTTCATTTAAGTAGTGGTCGATTTTTTCGCTGACCACGTTTAACTCCGTTGCAGCCTAAGGGGCCCACTGCAAAACTCTAAGAGCAGCCATAACTGATTCTTCTCATTGAATCTCTTTCGAGATAATGTGTTTCTTCATTGAAAACTCTCAGACAGCGATCACGGGGTATCCTTAGAATCACGTCACACGTTTGTTATTGAATGCTGTCAGTATCATGTCATACTGCCATCACTGTCAGATGTCAGTATCACTGTCAGATGTCAGTATCACGTCATACTGTCATGTCACGGTTGACCTGCCACAGCGCGAGATGTACCTGTCTAGTCAAGCGTAGCCGTGTCACCACCGTTAACCTGTTTGTCAGGTTGTACCCAAGAAGTACATTGCCGCTTTGGCTGGGGGTTATAAATATTTCAAATCTGAAAGGAATATTTGCCTTCAGGTATTCATTTAATTCATTCTGTTCATTTTTCTTTTTTTTTACCTCACTAGAAAATAGACGTCTCTCTCTAATCGGGTATTCTCAGCCCTAATGTATTTAGTTTCGCGATAATTCAAGTTCAGCCCAAATATATTTAGTTTCGCGATAATTCAAGTTCAGCCCAAACATATTTAGTTTCGCGATAATTCAAGTTTAGCCCAAATGTATTTAGTTTCGCGATAATTCAAGTTCCGCTCAAATATATTTAGTTTCGCGATAATTCAAGTTCAGCCCAAACATATTTAGTTTCGCGATAATTCAAGTTCAGCCCAAATATATTTAGTTTCGCGATAATTCAAGTTCAGCCCAAACATATTTAGTTTCGCGATAATTCAAGTTTAGCCCAAATGTATTTAGTTTCGCGATAATCAAGTTCCGCTCAAATATATTTAGTTTCGCGATAATTCAAGTTTAGCCCAAATGTATTTAGTTTCGCGATAATTCAAGTTCCGCTCAAATATATTTAGTTTCGCGATAATTCAAGTTCAGCCCAAACCTATTTAGTTTCGCGATAATTCAAGTTCAGCCCAAACATATTTAGTTTCGCGATAATTCAAGTTCAGCCCAAATATATTTAGTTTCGCGATAATTCAAGTTCAGCCCTAATATATTTAGTTTCGCGATAATTCAAGTTTAGCCCAAATGTATTTAGTTTCGCGATAATTCAAGTTCCGCTCAAATATATTTAGTTTCGCGATGATTCAAGTTCAGCCCAAACATATTTAGTTTCGCGATAATTCAAGTTCAGCCGCAATAATTTAAACATCAAGTAACAATTCAAGTTCGTTCAGGTAAAACGTAAGCGTGTTGAATGTAGCGACAGTTCAAGTAAGTTCCACATTCCTACAGTAGCATCAATTTGCTTGTTCACCTGTTGAGCGTTCTCTCCCCCCCCCCCCCCTTAGATGTCTCTAAATTGTGACATTCCGTATCTGGTTAATCGAGTCGGTGTAAAGAAGTTGGCACGTGCAAATGTCACACTTTTAAAGATTCAATTCTTGATGTCAGATGACCATCTGGACATGGTAGTGTGGAGGGTTTCCACAGAATGCACGTCGTTAACATCATCTGAACTACAATCAGCTGATCTGGGTGGGTGATGATGACATGATGACAATAGTGTCTACACAATGACAGCACTGGCCACTTTTAACAGCTGTACTACACTGTATCCCCTTTCTCCCCCCTCCCCACCTCCCACACAACCCCCCACCCCCATCCCACCACCCCCCATCCCCTGTGTCGTAACCTTAGGCTTCCAAGGAACGACGTTTGTCACTCAAGTTTTGCCCCCTGGGGCGGACCCCCGCCAGTGCTGTCAATCTCCGCAGATCGGCTAAAGTGCTCGACGTTTCGAAGCTACATGTGGATGTGCAGCTAGCTATATGGATATTAATGTTAACTACGGCTCTCAAGGTACATTTGTGGCCTCTATACGGATGTGCAGAGAGGGGGTAGGGGTGGTGTAATGCTAGACAAAAATGCAGTTACAATAACTCAGTAACATTCAGAAAAATGAATTGCCTTTTTCCCCAAAACAAAAATTGAAAATATTTTATGAGACTTTTGATTTGCGATGAGAAGATGACCAGTGTGTCTTTCAGACATTTTTTTCCGAAAGAGATTGGGGATGGGGGGGGGGGACACTTGAAACTTCCGAGGGGGGGGGGGGGGAGTATATATTTTCTACATAAATTCTATTTTGTTTGGGGATATGGGGGGGGGGAGAGGTTGATATACCCACCAACCAGAAGAGATGCCCGAAAGAAACTCTGAAAATGACGTAGATTTCATCTGTGTCATTGAAGTATTAAGAAGTGACTGTGTGGTCAGCACAATACTCAGACCAAAACTAAACTCGTCGACTTCCTACAGACTCATCACGCTACTGATGTTGGGGTTCCAGTCAAATGGTCTCTGTCGCCTTGTCATGGGACAGTGGCGTCACAAGGCGGGGTCGGAGGATGCGGTCCGCACCGAATGACACCATTAAGGGGGAGTGACACCAGGACGAAAAATCTTAAAATTTACTTTCAAAGCAATGTTTTATCGAGTTAAAAAAAACATATGGTTTGAGGGGTGACGTCAGACAGAATATGTAAAATTGTTGGAGGGGGGTGGGTTGACATCCTCGGTTACAGAGTTTCTTCCAGGCATCTCCCCCCCCCCCCCCCCCCCCGAACGAAATTCATATAGAAAATATATACTTTTAACAGTGTCCGCCCCCCCCCCCCGGAGAAAAAAGTCTGGAAGAAACACTGCTCGGTTACCACACCGGAGGACACCCGCCTAGTGACGCCATTGACATGCGGTCCCAAGATTTTAAAAAGTATGTAAAAGAGAGCATTTTTTCCCCACCCAGATACAATGTGGATCACCTTAACCCTATCCCTGATTGGACGGCTGGGTAACGCCGCCACCTACGTCATCATTTATATCTACGCGGCGGAGTTATTCCCCACTGTTGTCAGAAGCACAGCCATGGGCGTGTGTTCTATAACAGAAAGCTTCGGTGGAATTATCGCCCCTTACATCGTGGACATAGTAAGTTCAATAAAACAAAAAGATAGGTCTTTTAAATCCTGATAACTAGACTATAAATCCTGACTAAATGATTGAGATGACTAGATTATAAATCCTGACTAAATGATTGAGATAACTAGACTATAAATCCTGACTAAATGAGATAACTAGACTATAAATCCTGTCATCCTGACTAAATTATTGAGATAACTAGACTATAAATCCTGACTAGATTATTGAGATAACTAGACTATAAATCCTGACTAAATGATTGAGATAACTAGACAATAAATCCTGACTAAATGATTGAGATAACTAGATTATAGTCTAGAAATCCACCCTAAACCAACATGACGAAGTGAGGACTTCTTCTGTTTCCACAGCACTTGGTGACCAGCTATCATGTAGGAAAAGCCCTGCCCCTTATTATATTCGGAGGGTCTAGCATACTGGCAGGACTCCTAGCACTGTTACTGCCAGAAACTTCAAAGAAAAACTTACCAGACACAATAGAAGAGGCTAAAAATTTTGGCAGGTTGGTGTAGAAGCCACACGTTAGCAAATTTAAACTCCAATACTGTAGTTATCAGAGCTCAAAGTCAAGATTCCTTTTTAGACTTTGCGACCCATTGGGCAGAAAAGTCCGTTTCCTTGGGATATGAAGGGATTAAGTGGTCAGCACTATGCCCAGCCGCCATTACTTTCCTTAACGTGAGTTAGGTACCCATCAGAACTGGGTAGAATCAGGGACATTCCAAAGTCTAGCGGTGTACTTCTAAGTTCTATGCCACACCATCCCAAAGTTTTAAAGTATTTTAATTATAAACTCACTCCTATTGTCTGATTTCCAAGTTCTGTGTATTAGTTATCTGATATTAGGAATTAATTAAGCAGGTGAAGTTAGACTACAAGTTGAGCTAAAAACTATACAGCTTCTAGCGGGCATGGCAAACCAATTTTTAACAAAACCACACAACATGTTTGCCTACTCTTGACTAGGCACATAAAAGCCATTTCAGATTTTCAACTTACTTTACAAAAATTATTTACATGCAACAATGCTTTATTTTGGATATTGTGGGTGTCTTTATCATGTTTTTTTCTTTGTTGCAGGTAGTGTCTAAAAACTGTAGACAAGATTTAAACTAAACTATACAAATTGCTGTAATTGAAGCCTTAGATATACCCAAATTATGTATAGATTTTTAAAATTGTGATTACTTTATTAATAAAATATTGTTTTATTAATAATAAAAAAGATGTTTCACACATTTCTTTGGTATGAATATAGTAATTTTTGTAATCTAGAATATTGTAATATTTCTAAGAAACTTCAGACTTATAAAAAAAGAGCAAACTGTAACAGGTCCAAAACACGACCAATGATAATGTCACTGAGTGACAGTGTCACATGTTAAGTACACAAACATTTTTGGACCTATCTCTACTTTCAATACAAGTGCTTTATTTACTAATACAAAATATTACTAAAGTGTGATGTCTAAACTTTTTAAAATACGGTACAGGAATTCAAATTTCTATTTTATGTGCAGGATAAATGATTTGTTTGCTATCCTGTTGAATATGGAGATATCAAATAAAATATGTTTAACATCCACCTGACCTCAACCCCTTCCCTGCTCAGGGTGCTGAAAGTTGACGACTACTAATTCAAGAAAAACCTAAACAAGACAATAACTCTTAAAAATAAAACAGTTTAATTGTTTTTGACAAATTACGTATAAACAGTGGACATTTTAAAGTACAGAAAATTCAAGACTAAATATACACAACATACACCTTACATCAGCAGAAAAACAATTACAGGTGAAATTTCAATAAACTATTTACACTAATTTGACCAAAAGAAATTTTGAAAGGTCTTTCAGACCAGTAGATTGATTATAAAATGATACCTACATTTATACAAATGAATGAAACATTAAAATTTTGTATGGAAATAAATGATTTGACGGATGTGGGCAGGTAACATGATGATTCTCATAACCAACATTTTCCATCATTCACACACAACAGCTGATAACATGGACACTCAGATCACTGTACTTGTTGAATCAATGTGATGTTGTCTCCCTTTAGCATGATGCGCCCTAGTAACAAGAACACAATGTTAAAATTATTATGGTTTAAGCTTTATGGTATAGATTAAATCAATCCTAAGAGTGCTATTAATGATATTGGATCAATCAGGTTGATCCATGTGGCTTATAAATACCCAAGTGAAATAAAAATCACTGGGTCCCTAAGCTACAATTTTTCCTCATTAGATCAATCAAGACTGTCTTTATGCATTGCAACCTGCCTTACTGCACATAGAGCAATAAATAGAATAGCTATTCCAATACAAAATGTGTAAACCACAACAAAAAGTATAAAATATTGAACATTCAGTATGAACCTTAGCGTTTCTATAAAACATAGATGTGTACATACAAGGCCTTAAAATTAAACAATAACACTTTCATAGTTATGTTATACAACTACATTAAAAAGAAGTGCTTAAGTTTGGTTACAGTTATGTTTTACTAATACATTGAAAAGAAGTCCACAACCATTAAAAATATATAGGCCTACTGCTGACAAGATTGTTCCGATACTTCGTATTATTTTGCAATTCTAGTTCATATATAGCAATGTGACTTCATGGAAACTTTTATTTTAAGTTCCTAATTGATTATTAATTACATTGTTATCATTACCAAATATATTTATCTTTTTTTTTTTAGATTTCTGCCAAGAAACAATTGATGTGTGAGAAAAAAATATTAAGCATACCTAATCTTTTTCTGTTCAGTGTCTTCATGTGAACCTCTTCGGCATCATCAAGAACCAAGTTCATGTATTCATCAAAACCCTAGTGAACAGAAATTTAAAAATTCATTTTAATATTAGGGCCTACTTATTAGTTTTATAAAAATTAAAAACAGGATTTCAACAGTATTAGTATTTTTAAAAAAGAATTTTTTTAAACATATGATTAAAAATTGAGTTACTAGTAAACAAGGAATTAATTTAGTTAAAAACCTAACTAATATAACAACTCAAAGACTATAAAAACAAAACTAAAATAAAAATGTTAGAGCAGCATTAATCTTACCACAATGCAACCTTCAATGCGCAAGTTGATTTGTTCATAGAGCCACACCTGTATTCTTGATCTCTGAATATTAAAATATATTTTATATCAATATTTGAGGCCTACATTTGTTTTGATGTAAATGAAAAAATAAAGTAGTTAAAGACTAGAATAACAAATTAACTATGACAAACATTTTTTTGGCAAATCTATTAACTGTCTTGTTCAAAACAAAGCCTACTTACATTCTGAAGGTATCTGAAAATCAAGTTCTGTAAAATTGTCAAGGAAATATTGGCTTTAAATTACATAAACTAACAATTAACCTGGAATCTAAGTCTGATTACATCCCAAAGTAAGTTACAATTACAACAGAAAGAAGCAGGTTTCTTTTGACTTTCTCACTTGCATTTATACACTATCACTAGCCGCACTATTTCTTACACTAAAACTCACATCCTCTTCCTTAAAATTATCATGAAATGTTTTATAGGCCAAATTATGGTTCAGTGTGGTTGAGTAATAAAGTGGTTGTACGAAAACTCGAAGAGTCTAGAGACTCAAAGTAATACTAACACCTCTCTTTTAATTGGCTTAGCTAAATAAATTACCATTAATTAATAACTTATAAATATGCAAAACCAAATCTCATGAGTCCGCTATCAGAAAGTAATAGAGCTTTCGGGTCATGTTTTTACCATGAACTTGGCAGATACCGACAACCCTACTAGTTGGCCAATAGTAATGCCTAAAAAATGTTTTTAGGAAAAAAGTATCAATAATAGAACACTAATAAACTAAGTCAATTTAGCATATATTAACTTTCTGTGCCAAGTCATTATAACTGGAAAAAAATTCCAAAGTCAGGTTCAGCCTATTATGAGCTAATGAAGAAAAAACTAATGGTTAATAGTACTGTGACCTGATTTCATGGGTGGATTTCTTGATTATTTTTAAAGATTTTTCTATAAACTGCACAGAAGCATATTAAAATATCTTAGAAATTAATTTAGATAGCTAAAATTTAACACAATCAATAAACAATTTAAAAAAAAAAAATAATGTCTATAGTTTTGTATAGACCTAGGAGTGGCGGATAGTGGTAGTGGTAGTAAAAAAAAATAATTGATCTTTGTGTTTTTGTGTTGTTTTGACAATATTTGTACATAATTAACATGGCATGCCTTTTATATTCACATAGGGTAAGTATACCATGTTACAAAAACTGCAATCTTAACTAATAATTCATAATTTTACTTTTAAAAAATGATAAAAACGATAATAAATTAGAAAAATGCTATAGGCCTACATTCTATTTTTAGATATGAAGTGAAATGACTAATAAATCTAACCAAATGATTGGATTTCGGCGCGGCACATCTTTTTCCATGGGGTTTTTTTTTCGACAAAAAGATTATAATAAAATGGCATTATAGTAGGGGGGGTGATATAACTGACATAGTACCACAAGTTTAGCCTAACTCCACAATAAAATATAAAAATAATTCCTAACCCCAAACTAGTTAATGCTGTGTACATACACACATTAAATGATACCAGTTATCACTAGGCCCCATTGGACCCCTCCACAATTGCAGGTCTACAAAGGGCCTACACTATAGTAGTTTACAGTAGGAACATTAGTATACCTAGTGTGTAGCTGTCCAGAGTTAAGATTATTGGATGTAAAAAGGGGAGGTACTAGCTAATCTGCCTTGATGCTTTCCTATGATAAACCATGTGTGCTATACATTACATAACATGGAGGTGAGAAATGCTTTCCCCTTTGTTATCCTTGCTGGACCCTGAGGACCATAAATTACATAAGAGATGCTATCTCTGGCTGTCTGAGATCTAAGGACTTAGTCCATGTTCCTACAAAGAGATGAAGTTCTATGGTTGGTTAGATACAGGTGGGGGCTGGGTATCATGGGGGGTGAGAAATTGTGATGGGGGAGCAGTGGTATTAATGTATCTGATCACTTCCCTTCTGGACCATGGGGGTCATAAATTACATAGCATACCACCCCAGATGAAATCAAAGTATAGTTATCCCTGTTACTTACAAAGAGATTAGAAGCTTTGTGGTTGGTTAGAAACAGGTGGGGGCTGAGTCGGTTGTATTGCCCCCTAGGGGTAATAAGTATGTGTGCCATTTTAAAAATTATCTGGCTAACATCAGATGTCTGAAATTTTGCTTTTTAGAAGGTTAGAATTGTATTTCTATCACTTAGACACAAGTGTGTTAAACAATTAATACTTTTTGTATTAACTATTCCTATACCAGTGTCATATTCAGTAGTCTAATAAATGAGAAACTTGAACAGAGGGCAACAAACGCCACATAACAATATCTGTTATAACTTTTCTGACATGCAAGCTAGTGGACAACCTTAATGTATTCATGTAGATTAAGTTATTATCTAACAAAAAACCATTATGATATTGATCAGTCAAGTTTTACTCTGATAATGATAAAAACTTTATAGCATGGTAAAACCGGACAAATGTCTGCCATTTTGTTTAGGCATCAACAATCACAGTGGAAAAAAAAATTCACCAAAATAAAACTAAGGATGCATCTATTCGGACCCGGGTCCTAATAGCCTCGGGCGCTATTGGGACCAGCCAATAGAATTGTTTAGATTTAGTTATACAAAAGTTCTTTTAAGATGCAGAATATATCTTTTCTGTTGTGATTTTTTTCCTTGTAGATCTAATTCTAAATGATATGTTGAGATCTTGCTTTAAATACCCGATATCATTACTGACAAATGATGTTATGATGAGCAGGTGTCGTTAGGTCTATAATATAATTATGGCCTATGGTATGAGCTTCTATGGCCGAGCGAATGTTGAGCGCGCATGTTAAAATGTGTTTTATTTTTTTTTTCTTCTGTTAAACGTAATTTGATTTCATAGGTCTGTCCATCCATATATATATATATATATATATAAATAAAATTGTATAAGATAGCTCATATAGGCTGCAGACTACAGATCCCGGGCCCGTTTTCTTGAACACGAATATCTCGCATGTGTTGTGGTACACATTAATAGAAGCAAGATGTAACATTTGAACTCACAATGACCCTAAATCCGTTTTTCCCTCTAACTGGCTTGGGAGAGGGGGGGGGGGGGACTACGACGTCGACTAATCTCGACAAGCTCATAGCAATGGTTTTGCTATGACGTATGCTATACGCCTACACTGCGTACACTGTTCACATCTAAACCAAAGTGAACACCGTCTCGGTATTTTTCTTGCGCTGACCAGAAAACGCGAGCGGGCGATCAATGGAGCAACGATGTTTTTATAATTGGCGTGTTTAAAAACCTAAATCTAGAAAAAAAAATCTATTTTGCTGTGAGAAATTTTAGGGAAAGAGCAGTGGGATTAATTCCTGTCTCATCTTCTCCCTGCTGGGCCAAGTGGGTCATAAATTACATAAAATGAATCCTCTGCTTCTCTGTTATCAAAGAACAGCAGTGGTTGTTACCTTAGAAGTAGATTAGTAGTTTTATTGGAAGTTTTGTGAGGGTGGGGTGCTGATCGGGTCCTATAAAACACGGCTCTTAGTGCCCTGCTTTACCCTATCTATAATATTTGACACAAATATATCACAATATAGAATCTAGGCCTACTTCTATTAAAGCCTTGACAATGAGGTAATTTTTTCGTACATTACTAGATCTAGCCGCGGGCGATTTTACGTACCTAAAACTCAAAAACTAAACGATAAATTACCGAAAAGTGGCATCCCTGCACTAACTTAGTAACTTATGTTCTGTAGGTAGGCCTATATCCGGCATTACTCTGTTAACAATAATATGTAGATTTTATCATTCTGTGTTAAATAGATCTTGAAACATTTTTACCAAAATGACTAGATCTACTCTTGCTTTAAATTTTTTAAAATTATCGATAACAGGTGGCTTATTGTAAAAATGCCGGTTTGTTATAAATACAGTAAAATTACTATTAAGAGAATACTAAAGGATACAATAGGTTGAACCATAATTTTCTGGACTTTCTGTCCTGCTCCTTTATAAGCCATTTTGATAGAATATAAGATTTACAGTGTTGGTGGACACCTCCAAAGAAAGAAATTATTCACGTTTTATGAACGCACCGCACCGGAAGTTGAAATAACCGCTTTTCAGTTGATATTTTGTTTCGTATTTTCTGTAGTCTGCTTGCTTCTAGTTTTCGATGATTTAGGCCTATAGGCCATAGGCCTAGTCCTTTTTGTAGTTCTTGCTTTGGTTTTATTTTTTTTTAAACAGCTTTAGGCCTAACTTTAAGATAAACATACTTAGATATATAGGCCCTATCTAGAATCTACATATTAACAACACTTCACTGTTATTAGCAAAAGGCTTGCGTTAATGAAAAGATAAGGTTTGGAGAGGTGTACTGAGGCCTACTGGATCGTCTATTTTTTATGACATCAATATAATTAGAATATTATTATATTAGGACCTTATCCCCCCATTCCAATCGAACACGCTAAGATTTCTAAATGGATGACTCTTATAGAATATTGTTGAATATGAGGTTGATTATAACGTAGTAGTTCTGAATAGTGACTATTCCTTTCTTTTACTTGAGTTGGTTTTTAACTGATTAGGCAGTTCTCAATACATGAATCGTAGTTATTGACCATATGTTGGCACTGTGACTAGATCTATATGGGGCTTGTAAAATACTTTGTGCTTAGAAACTGAATAATAGACGTAGTTTTCATTTAGCATAATGATTTTCTACTTTGGCCTTCTAACTTCTAAATTTATCAATTTCATTTTAAATCTTTGGCATAAATTCACAGTTTGACCTGGCAACCGGATTTCTGGTAAGAACGTCGATAGTTTACCTTGGAGATAGAATTTGGCCTATGCAACTTTTTAGGTTTTATTAAATAAATATCTTACTATCTAATCTTAATAATTCAGTTAAGATTTTATCGTTCATATGACATATATTGAGATCTAGCACTGAATAGTTTAAATTACAAATCGTACAGTTTAGATCTAATAGTGCCATAGGACTGCCATAGCCTGATAGGATAGGGCCTATCGATTACTGAATAATAATTAATATAGAATATTAGGACCCTATAGATAGTATTAGATAGATTAGATTTGATCTATTCTATATATATATATATATATAAATATATATATATATATTGTATAAGCTTATACCCGTTCTTCGCTATGGTGAAAAGTATGGTGCAATGCCCTCACGATGGATATTCCTTCTTGCGGGTGGCAGCTTCACTTTGGTGTGGATATAGATATTCACAAAAATTAAGCTACTGTAAAAAATATAATGGCCCAACTCGCTCACGGAAGTCCACCCAGATTTCGCTCCACCCCCAACCCGCAGCACTATCTAAACTGTCGCCGAACAACATGTTTTCCAGGGCATCCTCGCACAGAGGTGGAGACTGCCCCATTCATAAAATACCACCACATCGACGAAGACAAAGTGTCCATACCAATGTGGATGGAAGTGTGAAATGACACTGGCTTATATTATAGATTGTTATAGTATTATATATACTAAATACTTTGTATGCCTACTATCTTATGTAGAAATATAGATTATTATAGAATATTGATACTAAGATAGAGAATATATATAGGCCTATAATGGCTATAACAATATAATTAATAATAGTGTATATTAAAGAATAACTACTAACTTACTAGGGCCCATGCAACATATTTATTATTAATAATGTAATATAATCATTATAAAACATGTATTACTTACTAGATTTTTTATAAATCATGTTTTTCCCACGCTACTACTGACATACTCACATATATACAGAACACACAGAGTATTACACATACATAGATTCAGTCTAAGAGCCACACAGTATACCAGGGGTTCCCAACCTTTTTTTACTCTAGAGCACATTCTAAAATATCGGTAGGTTGGCGGGCACCACCTATTTTAAATCGACAAACTCCTTCCAGAGGCGTAGCGACCCTTCCCGTCACCCGGGGACAAAACTTTCGATTTGCACCCCCCTCAAACTTTCGATCTGCACCCTCCCCCCTCAAACTTTCGATTTGCACCCCCCCCCCTCAAATTTTTTATTTGCAACCCCCTCCCCCCTCAAACTTTCTATTTCCATCCCCTTCAACCTTTCAATAATGTTTATGGAAAAAATTCTGTCTCTGTGGAATAGTGAGAGACGGGCACATACGAATCGTTTGGCGGGCGCCCGCGGGCACGGGGTTGGCAACCCCTGCAGTATACCATACTTTAGAGCATTAGAGAGAGAGTACAACATACAAACATTATAGAACTGAACCAGTCCAACTAGTGACTCAGTTGACTCAATCAGTAATTCTAGGTCTACACTAGAAATACTGAACATACAAATTACTAAATTAATATTAAGCTTAATATTTCAAGTCTATGAATTTAAAGAAAATGTTAAAAACTGGGCTCTCAGAAACTTAAAAAGAATATTTAGCTTCAATAGATAGATCGAGATCTAAATTCTAAGCTTAACTAGTTTATAAGCATTTACAGGACTTAATCAATGCCACGTTTTGCTGACCCATATTACTACCTATACTATAACACTTACTATATTTAGTACTTACCTCAATAGGACTAACAGTACTAACACTAATCCTGAAATTATAAAAAATAATGGGGGGGGGGGGGGGGAGAATGAGATGTTGCATTCTCCTGCCAAAATTTATATCAAGTAAGAACTTACTGTTTTTATCTTTAGATCTAGAATCGCATGGATTTCAGTGTACAAGGGATGGCAACACCCCGCAGCAATGCACGTCACTTGCCTGGAAGTGCTAGAGGGAGACCACAGATCAACCCAATCACTGTATGTATTTTTTTAAAAACCAATTGTTCTGGTCATGTTTCATTAAAATTCTACTATTAACTCAGTATGCCTATTTATTTCTCAAAAAGCATTATGGTGAATATAATTGTTTGTCAGACTTCTGTTCTTTCTTTAAATTTCAATAAGTTTTTTCTAACAGATCTAAGTGTTTGTTGATAGTACTTTTCTTTTTATCCTGTGATAATCAATTGCAGTTTGTTTCTTTGTATTGGCATTACAAATAATGATTTTTAATTTGCCTAGCCTGAAGCCAGGTTGTTCTTTATTCTTTCCAATTTGTTGATATTGTTATTACATAGTTTCATGGCTATTTATTGCAATAACACTAGTCAAATATAGAATACAATTTAATTACAAGAAATCTCAATCAACAGGGGGAAGAAATGCATGTGACTACACCAAGGCTACAAAGTAAACCAGTTGCTGAAACTGATACCAAGTATGTTTCAGTCTAACTCATCTAATAGCCTTTACTATGAATTGTTTGCAAACAATGTTAATTTGTAATTTATGATAATAACTTTACTCAGTCATACAGACACACACACACAAAATTTACTTCTTCAATTTACTTCACAAAAATCAATCCCTGTTTTTACTAAAACTCATGGTACTTAAAGTTAAGTTTTTATCACGTAAGCTGGGAAATGTATGCTGACAAATTTCAGCTGAAACCCATTCCCGGTATTTTGAACTTCGTCTACTTTTCTTGATATGCTTCATCACTTACCATGTTCTCGAATACTTTAAAGATGAACTATGACTTGATATTTCAGTGTTGTCCCATCACTTGATCTAAAATACCTTAAAGATGATTTAGTAAAGACTGGCGCCTTAGATATTGACCTACGGATTGATGATTATTCTCTGGAAACTCCAAACTCAGCTAGCACTGTCAGGTAATGTTGCTCTAGTTCTTGAAAATGTGAAATTGAATTATAAATTACATTAGCAAGAAATGTAAATACTTACTAGACCATTAGCATGTTTAAAATGCCTATGGATTCCCTCTTATTCTGCTAACAATGTGTGCTAGAAAGAAAAAAAATTCATTTCTGGCATTTAGAAACTAGGCATGCTGCCCAGCTTCGCTTAGGCTTTCGAAAACATTGAGAATTTGAATGCTTAATTAATTCGCCCATATAAGGCGCCGGTCAGTCGAGGTCAGTTTTTACCCCCTCATCGTAGACTTTTCGGCCAACCGGCCCCCGTGTTCTGTCGCCCCAAGGCAAGATCCTGCCAAATTTGAAGCGCCTGCGGCGCCGGGAAGTGCCCTATTGGGCACCCGACAACTTAGCTTTATAGATGATCTAGATCTAGAATCTCTAGATCGAGATCATTATCTAGATCTAGAATCTCTAGATCTAGAATCCAAATAGATAAAATAAATTTTTAAAGTTTAGGCCGAGAAAATCGTATTGTATACATTTCATAGCGTACATAGCTCTAAATCATATTTGAATGAAATAGTTCATTTCTTTTTATTCTAATCTCGGAAGATGACGTCATCAGTTTCGTGCTCTTTTTTTAGTGTAAACAATAAGTGACGTCATTGTTAAATGCGTCCTTGTCCCAAGTTTATACACTTTTCCGGTTGCATAAATAATACTGTTTCTCTACATTCGAATACGCCTTTATTTTTTATTTTTCTTCTTTAAATAAAATTGTGGTTATACATTTAAAACATCTAACATATTTTTTTCAACAAAAGTCTGTATAAAGGTATCCATATATCGCTGCCGATTCTGACGTGATGTCCGGCGAAAATATTTTGCGGACAGAGAGAGAGAAGAGTGCACATGGCCTTTTATATATTAGGATGTGTACAGATCCTAAATTTATATATTTGTAGATTTCTTCAGTTTTATAGATTTTAGTTGTATAATTTACAGTTGGGGTACAGGGAGGAGCAGTTACAGACCAAGACCAGTTCAACAGGTTAGTCGCTAACACTGTCTTGCTTTCTTTTTAATCTACTTGGTGTGTTGTTGTTTTTTAGTCACGAACACTGGCTTGTTTTTTTTTAATATAACTGCTGTGTTGTTGTTTTTAGTTACTAACATTGGCTTGCGTTCTTTTTAATATAATAGGTGTGTTGTTTTTTTGTCGCTAAGATAGTCTTACTTGCTTTTTACTATACCTTATACATTTTGATGCCACTTTACAAGACATGGTCTTTACTGTCTGATTTGCGTAAACGTTAGTCTCACTTAATGATTTACCAAAGTACTAGTCCCACTTTCTTCTGTCTCACAGTATAATTTTTCCCCCAGGTAACAAAGAATAACACGACCACTGTTCGACCTCAAGGGGTCCCAGGGCTGGACTTAAGTGTTTCCAGACCAGCATCTGCAAAAAAACAAGGTCCAAAGCAGGTGAGAAGATTTACTTAATCCTCCATACAAAAAAACAAGGTCCAAAGCAGGTGAGAAGATTTACTTAATCCTCCATACACAAAAACAAGGTCCAAAGCAGGTGAGGGGATTTACTTAATCCTCCATACACAAAAACAAGGTCCAAAGCAGGTGAGGAGATTAACTTAATCCTCCATCAGGTGAGGAGATTTACTTAATCCTCCATACACAAACAAGGTCCAAAGCAGGTGAGGAGATTAACTTAATCCTCCACACAAAAACAAGGTCCAAAGCAGGTGAGATTTACTTAATCCTCCATACACAAACAAAGCAAGGTCCAAAGCAGGTGAGATTCAGTTTATCCTCCACACAAAAAAAAAAATACGTGATGAAATTTACATAATCATTTATAAAATATTTAGTGTCAAACATTTGTTTAAATTGTTAGTTTTAATTTTACTTTCTTCTGTCCTTTTTTTTTAAAACTGATTAACATAATTCTGCAATAGATCTAATAACTACGAACAACAGCCTAAAATTAGTATAAGTTGAAATTTTATGTTAATTAAATTGTGTACGAGTGTGTGTAAATTAAAAGCTGGAACTGGTTATTGTGTCATATAGCCCACAGCATGGGACAAGGAAGCTGTTCCACTAGACATACCCCCACCCTCCTCAAGGCATAAGGAGCTGTACCAACAATATGCAGATGAAATGAAACAGTCATATAGAGCCCATGCTAATCCCTCCCAGGTTAGTTCTACATTTTATATTAACATTACCTCCCTTGTTTTTGTGGAGTGGGGAATTGAATTATACACTGGGTGATGCTAACTAAAGGCTAGCTCTAGACATAGATTTGAACCCAATATATTTTGGTAGTAAACTCACACTCAGTCAAATACCCCTTCCCTGTTTGATGGGGTTGTTAAGTTTAGTACCTTGTTATCTGTGTCAGTAGTCTTAAATGTATGTATTGTTATATTGCTTGATAAAATTTGTTTGTAAAACTGCATGCATTAGCCCTCATTTGTTTACTTGAACTTGAGCCATCTTCTTCCAGAAAAAAGTTGAAACTACATCAGAGCAGGTTTACAGTTCCAGAGAAACAGAGAAGTTGAGAGACAAGAATTTTATTGCTGATGAAGAGGAGGAGGATGAAAACAGAATGAACGACAACTGGACAAAAGAGCGCTACTCAGGGAAGCAGTTGATTAAAAAGAAAGACATAGTGAGTTGTATTTTTTTAAACCAGCCTGTGCTCTTATAACTTGAAAATATGGCACTTACTTTTCTCAGCACAATATTTTTGCAAAGGACAAGTACATTGTTAAGGGATAATTTTGATTAAATATTACTATCCAGACTAATTGATGTGGGGTACAATGACTAACTACCAAGCTTGTTTCCTTGGGCATACATGTATAGTGCCTTCCATGGAGTTCATGTCTTAGACCATGTCAATGAGGCCTGGGCTACTGACTGACACACTATTGCATAGTTTTATTTTAAATGAATTATCATTGCTACATCAGAAATTTTGAAATTTCTGTTTTACATGCTTGAAAACCTTTAGTCAGGAGCCGCCTATTTAAGAATGTAATAAATATTGATTTGATAGCTTTTTAAATTTTTAATTTCTTAATTTATTGTTGATAAACTGTTTATTTTTAATGACAGGAAGATCTTCTTGAGCACAACAAGAAACAAAAGTTGGTGGAAACAGTAATGATTGACCAGCTGTCAAGGTTGGTGCTAAATGTTTAGTTATTGTGTCATTTTCATTGGTTTAAATTATTTCTTTTTAAAATTCTTTTTATAAAATCCTGTACAAAGCAAACACCATGGGGAGTTCACATTAATGGCTGTACTGTAAACATGTAGTGTTAGAGAAAACAATGCAAACATCACTGTAGGTGGAAACTCTCCACTGTGGTTGTAGTTCCTTGTCATGTCGACTGAGAAAAATATGTTGTATTTTTATTTTAACCAAACTTTTTATATTATTGTTCAATTAAATTTTTTTTTTTGAGGCTACAGTCTGTAACCCAGATCTAAATAAAAAATCTTCACTAAAGTTTAAACATTTTTTTTAAAAATATTTCAAATGGCTGTGATTGAAAAATCTTTATAAACCTTTTTAAGGGTTGTGATTGGACAAAATAAACATTTTATTTTTTCAAAGTACTTTTTAAGGGCTTTAAAAAAATTTAATGATTAAACCTTCAATGTTTTTGTTTAAAAATATTACAGGGCAGTGATCAGTGACCCAGAACAAAATGTCATGCATACAAGTCGTCCTAGCTCATCCCGCAGAGGGAGGGGAACCAACAGATATCTGCATGACACAAAGTAATATCTTTAGCCTGTCAGGTTAAGGACATGGGCGGGTGTACTTTTCGTCATAAATCCACTAAATCATCGATTTCCCACTTTTACTTGATCTATACAGAATAACCATCGTTGAATCTAAAAATGACATTGTTATGACCCTAAAAACAGTATTTATTTATAAAAAACCGGGTTCAAAGTAGTGTGTACAGGGTCATTTGTTAATTTTTTGGTAAAAATAGCCATTTTTCGACCTAGAAAAGTACTATTAGGCTTCACGGAAACATAATGTGTTTCATATCATTGGAAAGGCCGTGACCTCCTTTCTTTATTTGTTCTAAATTAAAGGACCAATCAAAATACTTATTTTAATGTGATTATTTTTCTACGTCATAAAGTTGTTTATTTTACTCAGTCGGGTTTTTCCGGTATGCAAATTTTTGACCTCAATTTTTTCATTGGCGTTCAACGGCGGAAGCTAGTTAGCGATTGGTCGTTTCGCTTCGGAAGTAAACATTCCCTTAGTTTCAGCGCGTTGCTAAGTTTGATCTAGTTTTGTTTCTCTAAGCTTCTGTGAAATACTTACATTATTTTAACATATACTTATTTCAATTAAATATACTATTAACAGTTTAGATTAGTTTGTGTGAATTATCATAAGCAGTGAGACGATTTAATGTGTTTCTCTTTCGATAATGGGTAGAACAAAACACTCGCTAAAAATAGATACACACAAACATCTAACTAATTTACTAAAGCAAGGGCACGTCCGAATGCAACTGATTGAAGCTACCTCTACTCAATCTAGCACCATTCAGACAAGCACTGGTGCAGATGTAATATGCACATTTACTAAGAAACTGCGACAATGTAAGACACAGTTTTTACAGACAGAAGAAAGCACTGTTACATCTAGTACTAGTAGTGCTAATTGTAAACCACAGCCATTCAGAATTATTGTCGAATGTGATTTGCTTCTTGATGTTATCAATACATTTCCTCGCCCACTGTGATGTAGTGGCTACTATTGATAAAAACAGTGTAAAGGGTTTGCTTCAAGCATGGTGTGGCAGTAATAAAAATGTTGTAAACCGTAAGTATACAACTGCAAAAGAATCCAGAACAAGGCCATTCACAATAAACAAAGACATCGTCTTATCATAATTGGCTTTAGCAGCGGCGTAGGCAGGGGGGGGGGGGTTAGGGGGGGGGGTCATAACCCCCCCCCCCCCCCCCCCCCCCCCCCATAGACCCCTCGGTATATATAATCGAAAGTTTGAGGGGGGGGTTGTGCAAATCGAAAGTTTGAGGGGGGGGGGTGCAAATGGAAAGTTTGTCCCCGGGTAAAAACTGGAACCCCCCCCCCCCCCATTGAGACGATCCTGGCTACGCCACTGGGCTTTAGACATGAGACCATGCAAAATATACTGCTGTTTCTGCGATAGCATAATTCAATTTTGGGCCCAGGCATGCTATGGCATTGCTGTCAAAAGAAGGAAACCATAGTCGAAGACTCAATGAAGGACGCCAAAAAAGACGCGTTGACAACAGCTTTTCTACAGCTCTAGGTAAAACAAAGAGCGCCAGAAAAAAAAAAAACTAACAGCTGAACAAGCTCAGAAGGAATATATTTAGCAGCACCATACTTCAGGCTATGAATGTGGTCGATTTTAGTGACATACAGCTGTAAATTTTCATTTTTTGCAACTTTTTGTTGGTTTTTTGCGTTTTTCTCAGTTTGATGTTTTTTTGTACAATTGTTGAAATAACTTTGTTGATAATTATCAGAACTGAACTAAATTTGCTCCAGTTACTCTGTATAAATGTTCAAATAAAACGTATTGAACACTTTTGGAATTTTTGTAAAGATTTTTTTTTTATTGTTTAAATAGTGAAAAAATTGGACGAAATAATGACATTTTTACAGTGATGTATCGAAAAAGAAAGTAAAAAAAAAACTATCTTCTTTTTTTAAAATGTAATCAATAAGAAGTCTTAAACACATGTGTCTGCAGATTATATTAAGTTTTCATGAAATTTGTACAAACCATTTTTGAGTTATTTCCATTTAAAAATCGTCAATAAAATCCAATATGGCCGCCGTCACCATGGCAACGAAGGATTTAAAAAATTAAAAAAAATATTTTTATGCTTAACTCTTTGAGTTATAACTATTAGCCAAGTATTACATCTTTAGACTTGGAAATAAAGAAGTTGGTACTCATCACCCGCCCATGCCCTTAACAGTAATCATTCAGAGATAATAATCACAAATCATGTAGATAAAACTGCTTTAATTAAACCATCAGATTAGAGAAAAAAGTTTAACATGACATAAACATTTTTTGAAGCTGTTTTCAATAGACCTGGACGCACACATTAATACAAATGATTTTAAAAAGTGATACAATTTAAACATGCATTAGTAGTCCTCTACTCTAGACTATTAGAGAGAAAAAATGGGAGGAGGTAGGTGGTTAGTGCTCTGTATGACAAATACATTTTGATTTTTAAGATTTTAAATTTGTATCTTGTTTCACCTTTTTAAACTAATTTGTTACAATGCAGTAAAAATTTTCTATTTTCAAATTAGTTAAATTAACAATTTTGGTTTTATTAATATGTAAATAGTATTTTGACACCAAATGTTTCCAAATGATACTAAAGAAATGTATGCCTAAAATATGTTTTTCCGATCAGAAAGTTTTTTTAAATCCAATTTCTGTGTCCATTTAGAATCAGCACAGCTTCAACTGCCACAGAAAATCTCTTATCCAAACGTGTTCGGTTTGGGGCAAGGATATTGACCCGGTATGTATTGGCTTACACTGTGTTCATTACACTAGATAGAAAACTTTTCATACAGCATTTAGCAAATAAATAGCTATAGAAATGTTTCTGGAAAATGTTTTGGATTGTTGTAAAAAGTAAAGCCCCAGCCTTTTTCTTTCAGTGATGGACACAATGCTATGCGAGAGCTGACTGGGTTTTTCTTTGATTTTGACAAAACTCTTACAGTTTATGAATTCTGGCAGTTTGGGAAAAGGTAAAAAAAAACTTTGTTGTTCACTTCACTAATTTAAATTTGGTGTCAATTATTTGTATGAATTGAATGAATGCATGAAATTGTTTTCAGCCATCATCATCAAAAGATTTAATCATCTGCTAATTGTAGAAAAATATAATTGATTTCTGCGTGTTTGTATAATTTTCTTGTCATGTGATTTAAAATCAATTTATAAACCACTCAAATGTAGATAATTTTCATCCACAGCGCCAAAGCTATGCCCTTTATATACAGAGGACAGTATTTCCATAAATCTGGTCCTAAAAGTGGTCTCCCTTACAGTTTATCAGATATATACACTGTATGTTGCTTTAAAGTTTTCTTTATCAGTTGAATTTACAAGTTTTGTTTTTTAATTTCTAAATTTGTTAACACTAATGCATTATTGTCTAATTTTATTTAAAAACAAGGGAGCTAACTTAAAAATACCAACTGAAGGTCAACTGGCCCTTACAGATTCACTGGCTAAAAATAAATTTATCGTCCTGCGTATCACAGAGGTTGATGAGCAAGAGAGGCAGCAGCTCTTGTAAGTTCGGTTTTACTCACTGTCAAGGTCAGTTTTCTTTGGCCAAGCCAGTATGTGACTGAGGGTTAAACTTTGTTGTAAAACTCTCATTAACTCCTGGAAAACCATGTGATATGCTTTGATAGCTGTTGTGTTTGTTGTTAATCTCTTTTAGTCTCTTGCTTGTTGTCAAGTTTTTAATTAGTTGTTAATCTCTTTTAGTCTCTTGCTTGTTGTCAACTTTTTAGTTTGTTGTTAATCTCTTTTAGTCTCTTGCTTGTTGTGAACTCAACTTTTTAGTTTGTTGTTAATCTCTTTTAGTCTCTTGCTTGTTGTGAACTCAACTTTTTAGTTTGTTGTTAATCTCTTTTAGTCTCTTGCTTGTTGTGAACTCAACTTTTTAGTTTGTTGTTAATCTCTTTTAGTCTCTTGCTTGTTGTGAACTCAACTTTTTAGTTTGTTGTTAATCTCTTTTAGTCTCTTGCTTGTTGTGAACTCAACTTTTTAGTTTGTTGTTAATCTCTTTTAGTCTCTTGCTTGTTGTGAACTCAACTTTTTAGTTTGTTGTTAATCTCTTTTAGTCTCTTGCTTGTTGTGAACTCAACTTTTTAGTTTGTTGTTAATCTCTTTTAGTCTCTTGCTTGTTGTGAACTCAACTTTTTAGTTTGTTGTTAATCTCTTTTAGTCTCTTGCTTGTTGTGAACTCAACTTTTTAGTTTGTTGTTAATCTCTTTTAGTCTCTTGCTTGTTGTGAACTCAACTTTTTAGTTTGTTGTTAATCTCTTTTAGTCTCCTGCTTGTTGTGAACTCAACTTTTTAGTTTGTTGTTAATCTCTTTTAGTCTCTTGCTTGTTGTGAACTCAACTTTTTAGTTTGTTGTTAATCTCTTTTAGTCTCTTGCTTGTTGTGAACTCAACTTTTTAGTTTGTTGTTAATCTCTTTTAGTCTCCTGCTTGTTGTGAAGTTTTTAATTAGTGTTAATCAACTTTGTCCATGTTACCTCCAGGGCTGAACATGCAGATGAGAGTGAGCGCCTCCATGCACCAAGCAAACTTGACGTAGAAAATCGTGAATTCTTATACATGATTCAAGGTAGGTGGTTTAACCGTGAATTCTTATACATGATTCAAGGTAGGTAGTTTAACTTTGCCTTTATTTCATGGAATTTATGGCTTTATTTTTTAAATATCTGTGACTAATTAGTCTCCTTAATTATCAATACTCTAATCAAGCAACTGCTGCCATGTAATTTGTTCTTGGATGGAAAAAGGCTACGGAAGCCAATCCAAAAAAGAAAAGCAGGCCTAAATTTGAGTCAACTGTAAAACAGGTTGACACGTAATACTTAATTGTGTTGGAGGAAATACTGTACAACATTACCAAAGAAGAGAAGAATACTCTAATGTTTTATGTCTGAGTTGTGTTAGCCTTTGGTTCTCAGTTATGGTAAGGGTCTGGGTTATGTCAGCCTATGGTTCTCAATTATGGTTAGGCTAGTGATTACTTTACACTGATACTCTCTGAGCTCTGAAGGTTGTTGACATTTGTTTCTCTCAGATATGGTCCAACAAAAGCTAGCCAAGCGAGGTGTCAAGACAATTACAGGACTTGGAAGATTTTACCGTAAACTTGACCAGTACAATACTGGCATTCTTGACCAGTATGACTTGGAGAAGGGGATTAAAATGTTTCGCTTAGATCTGGATCCTGATGTAAGAGTCTTAGAGATTATTTTTTACATTAAGTTACAATAAAACTAATTAAATTTCATTTTTTGTTTAATAGAATACAAATTTTTAAATGTTAAAATGTAAATTATGTCCATAAATGCGATATATACTGTTTAAATGTTATAAAATCATGATTTTTGCTTTGTTTAGAAATTAGAAGAAGTTTTTGATATACTGGATCCTGAAGGAAATAAACTGTTGGACTATGGAGACTACATGCATGGTGTTATTGGTGAGATGAACGAATACAGGAAGGCTCTAGTCAGGAAGGTATGTTCTTAGCTCTGGTCAGGAAGGTATGTTCTTAGCTCTGGTCAGGTCAGGAAGGTATGTTCTTAGCTCTGGTCAGGAAGGTATGTTCTTAGCTCTGGTCAGGAAGGTATGTTCTTAGCTCTGGTCAGGTCAGGAAGGTATGTTCTTAGCTCTGGTCAGGAAGGTATGTTCTTAGCTCTGGTCAGGAAGGTATGTTCTTAGCTCTGGTCAGGAAGGTATGTTCTTAGCTCTAGTCAGGAAGGTATGTTCTTAGCTCTGGTCAGGTCAGGAAGGTATGTTCTTAGCTCTGGTCAGGTCAGGAAGGTATGTTCTTAGCTCTGGTCAGGAAGGTATGTTCTTAGCTCTAGTCAGTAAGGTATGTTCTTAGCTCTGGTCAGGTCAGGAAGGTATGTTCTTAGCTCTGGTCAGGTCAGGAAGGTATGTTCTTACCTCTGGTCAGGAAGGTATGTTCTTAGCTCTAGTCAGTAAGGTATGTTCTTAGCTCTGGTTAGCTCTGGTCAGGAAGGTATGTTCTGAGCTCTGGTCAGGATGGTATGTTCTTAGCTGATAAGACAATTTTAGCTTTGGTTACAAAAGATTTTAACTCTAGTTAGAATAGAATTTTTTACTTAAAATTAATTAGAATTAAAATGGAAATGTAGTAACTAGCTACAATGAGTCCAATGTTATAACGTTCTTCAGCCTTATGTAAGTTACAAGTAGGCCAACTAGTGGTTTTTTATTTGTCCTTCATTTGTTATTTTTTCCTTCTCTGTGCCAGGCATTTGGCAAGCTGGACAGTGGCAAAAAAGGAGCCATTCACATCAGTGATGTCAACAAATTTTTTAATGTCAACTCCACATACAAAACAGGTGGGTCATTGTTTGTAAACTATTGGTACTTATATTTTTAAACATTTAGACATTAAGTTTGTAAACATTAAGTTTTTATGTGCCTTGTAAACAATGTGTTTTTTTTTGTTCACATGTTGTCTTTAATTGTTTAAAGTTAGGGTTTTATTTTGTTTTTTTTTGACCTTCCCACATATCTCTCACTAGCCATGGCACCACCACCCCCTCTCTATAACTTACTGCATGTCTCTCAAACTCTTGCACCAGATTACCCCACAAGTGCCAGTACCCACATATCAAACATGGCACCCACCCCAGTACCCACATATCAAATGTGGCACCCACCCCAGTACCCACATATCAAATGTTGCACCCATCCCAGTACCCACATATCAAATGTGGCACCCACCCCAGTACCCACATATCAAATGTGGCACCCACCCCAGTACCCCCATATCAAACATGGCACCCACCTCAGTACCCACATATCAAACATGGCACCCACCCCAGTACCCACATATCAAATGTGGCACCCACCCCAGTACCCACATATCAAATGTGGCACCCACCCTAGTACCCACATATCAAATGTGGCACCCACCCTAGTACCCACATATCAAATGTGGCACCCACCCTATATCAAATGTGGCACCCACCCCAGTACCCACATATCAAATGTGGCACCCACCCCAGTACCCACATATCAAACATGGCACCACCTCAGTACCCACATATCAAATGTGGCACCCACCCCAGTACCCACATATCAAATGTGGCACCCACCCCAGTACCCACATATCAAATGTGGCACCCACCCCAGTACCCACATATCAAATGTGGCACCCACCCCAGTACCCACATATCAAATGTGGCACCCACCCCAGTACCCACATATCAAATGTGGCACCCACCCCAGTACCCACATATCAAATGTGGCACCCACCCCAGTACCCACATATCAAATGTGGCACCCACCCCAGTACCCACATATCAAATGTGGCACCCACCCCAGTACCCACATATCAAATGTGGCACCCACCCCAGTACCCACATATCAAATGTGGCACCCACCCATGTACCCACATATCAAATGTGGCACCCACCCCAGTACCCACATATCAAACATAGCACCCCGCCCCTACCCCTATAACTTACTGTAAACCTCTCAAACTCTTGCACCAGATGGTGACACAAGCGTCAGTGCCCTACAATCATTTCTTGAGGCTGTCAGAGATAACGAGAAACAAGAACTTATTTCATACATTGAGTTTGAAGAGTATTACGAGGGACTGAGTGTTGCAATAGACAAGGATGAAGATTTTGCTAACGTGTTGCGTAACACATGGAACATATAGTCTCGTAACACATGGAACATATAGCTGCGTAACACATGGAACATATAGCTGTACCAGAATGTTGTCATTTCAAGGAGGAGGAAGTCAAAATCTTGGAATATTTTCTCTTGGGATAAAAGAATATCATTGTTTTGTTTGAGTCGGTCAAGCTGAGCTGGTGTTAGTTTTGAGGTTAATTCTTCTTCACCTGCGTATGTTACCTGTGATATATGTCATCAACTGTGACAGACATCTACATAACTGTCAGTGACAGGCACCTCTGAGTGCCAGTGACAGACATCTACATAACTGACATGAGAACTGCTGGCTTGTAATGATGAATGCATATGTTGTGACCTCTGCTCTCTCAGTGATTCTCAAACTCACTTTTATGCCATTGTCACTGCCACTGTAATTAATATTATGTATAAAATTTGTTTATTCAATGATACACAAAGTTGATCCCATGGGCAATCATTAGATAAGCTGATTAGTCAGATGACCATGGGTAATCATTGGATTAGCTAATTAGACAGGCAACATGCCTCACTTTCAGAGGTTTTTTTTTTTAAATTTATCGTTGAATAGTTTTTGTTTGAATAATGTAAACAATTGAAATTTTGATTATGTTTTTAGTTAATTTCTATGATGATTATAGATTATAAATTGACTATTAACAAAATATGTTTTTACTTTGTAAAGGTATGATTTCATGTCATCTGTGTTTGTCATGTATTAGATTGTGTTAGTGTAGTATTCAGGAGTTCTTAGACTGAATCAATAGGAACCTTTTAACTTGGTACAAAAGTGATGAAAAGAATGTAGTAAACGTGCAAATAACGGTTGCAAAGTAACATGTTCAGTTTTAGGCTTCAAGATAAAACTTAGAGTAGGATTAAACTTGGAGTAGTTGCCAAATGTATTTTAATTGTATTAACACAATGGTTATTTTCTCCAAACATCTTTTATTTTGTGTTTGTCTGATAGTTAAACAATTATACCTGAATTTAATGCCTTAACCCTTCATTTCATGAATTAATTTTGTGAAACTCTTTTTGAGAAAAAATCTTACAAGGTGGGCTGTGGTGTGTAGAGAGCATAAATAATGAGGAAATTGAATTATTTTATCAAATGTTTATTTTGCAAAAAAAACAGTATGTAGCAATTATGTACAGTATGCAATGGTTCAGTAAAAATGTTAAAATAGAAAAAAATTATTAATCATTTATCATTGAAAATTTATTGAGTAATTATTGATTTGAGTAAAACACTTATTCATCCCAAATCTGGAGCATCAGAAATTCATTTACTATATAGCAATTTACATTTTTTGCACAATCTTGCAATCTTGTTGAGTGTTTGCAAATATTTTACCTATCATCAAATGAGTAATGTGTGGCACTTAAAGTAGTTGTATGATGTTTCCTCTCTCCTTGTATTAAAAGAATGACATGCAATTAAGACATTCCACAGCCAACATTCCGCCACAACAAACTTGACTTCCTCTAATGAAGAGTTCCATGTTTATTTATTATGATCCGTCCATACATTTACAAATATTTGTTAACTAAAGCTTCAGTGACTTGAAATGCAATAAAAATGACATTCCAGATTTGTATTTTGTGTGTCTGTCTGCAGATACTATTTCTCTTCCTGTAAACCTGAATCACTAATGGTATTGGTACCAAATGTTTTATGTCTTCTTGTTGAATACTGAACATATAGATGGTCTAACATTTTTAAATATGAATGTGATAATATGGTAAAGATATTTACACTTATTTGCTTGTAATTTAAGCTTGGTAATAAATGTAAGATTTTTCACATTTTGATTTGTCTGCTATGAAATGAATTATTTAAGGCCGATAATCAGGTTTAAAAGGAATCTGTTATAAAAAATCCAGTCATGCTTTGGGAATGGTCTAACCAGCACACAATGTAAATTATACATTATAACCACACAATCTATATTACAAGTAACCACACAAGTTAGATCACATTTAACCACACAAGTTAGATCACATTTAACCACACAAGTTAGATCACATTTAACCACACAAAGTTTAGATCACATTTAACCACACAAAGTTTAGATCACATTTAACCACACAAGTTAGATCACATTTAACCACACAAGTTAGATCACATTTAACCACACAAAGTTTAGATCACATTTAACCACACAAGTTAGATCACATTTAACCACACAAGTTAGATCACATTTAACCACACAAAGTTTAGATCACATTTAACCACACAATTTAGATCACATTTAACCACACAAGTTAGATCACATTTAACCACACAAGTTAGATCACATTTAACCACACAAAGTTTAGATCACATTTAACCACACAATTTAGATCACATTTAACCACACAAGTTAGATCACATTTAACCACACAATTTAGATCACATTTAACCACACAAAGTTTAGATCACATTTAACCACACAAATTAGATCACATTTAACCACACAAGTTAGATCACATTTAACCACACAAAGTTTAGATCACATTTAACCACACAAAGTTTAGATCACATTTAACCACACAAAGTTTAGATCACATTTAACCACACAATTTAGATCACATTTAACCACACAAAGTTTAGATCACATTTAACCACACAAATTAGATCACATTTAACCACACAAGTTAGATCACATTTAACCACACAAAGTTTAGATCACATTTAACCACACAAAGTTTAGATCACATTTAACCACACAAAGTTTAGATCACATTTAACCACACAAAGTTTAGATCACATTTAACCACACAAAGTTTAGATCACATTTAACCACACAAAGTTTAGATCACATTTAACCACACAAATTAGATCACATTTAACCACACAATTTAGATCACATAACTATACTTATGTGGGGGGGAGGGGGAAATCGAGCACCCCCCCCCCCCCCCCAGCGCCAAATAAGTAGACCCAAACATAACTGGGGCACCACTCTCCCCCCCCCCCCTCCTCTTCCCTCCCTTGTGGAGGGCCTAACACTCCTGGTATAAACCCATACCGTGATCCATGGACCTTGACGTTAAGCCACTTAAAAACCAAGTTAACACATCAGCTGTTGCACTATTCTAGGAAACTATTTTAGTATTCACCTCGATGCGCTGTACGCACGACTTTAAAATGAAACTACCTGCACGTCCTCGTTTCTCGGTGTGTCGTAGCCCAGTATAGTTACAGGCTGTAAATGGAAACACGCGAACAGATTAAGGTAAGCAATGCTAGATTCATTCATCGTCCGTTTTTCTCGTAAATCATCTCTAGGACAGACTGGTTCTGAGTAGCTCAAGCTACTTTCATCATTATTTATATCCACTAGGTGACATGCATCTTCTGTTATTGATTTGATTGATGCGTAAAGCGTATTACTGTAACGGCCAAACCAGCAGGGAACAAATCAATCAGTAGTTCTACGTGGGCAACTACAGGTCTACGACTAGACAAGGGACATCTCTCTAGCATGGAGTTTCTCAGATCTCTAGAAGAAGCTGGGAAGATGGGGATTTCAAAAACTGAATTTTTGGACATTTGGCAGAGGGAGATGGCATTCAAAGAGTTACGACTTAATCCAAAGTTGACGCTACAGACAGATGTGGGTTTCTTTTTTTTTAATTTCTTTTTTTTATTTTTTTGTGGCGTTCATCAAAGATGCGAGTTTTAGTGATCACGTGGTTTTCTTGAACAGGTTGAATTTTATCGAGGGTGTATTTTTTATCGTAGGGTTGGGATTTAATTGTCGAGATGTGGTATTTTCTGTTTTAGATATTGGAGTGGGTTTTTGTTGAAGAGGTGGGTTTCTACAAGCATTTATTTAACTCACTTCCTCGTCAGTCTGTCGTCAGTCGTTAGTCTGTCTGTCTAGATCGAAACACCGGAGCGAAATTGCAGGCACTTCTACTTGACAGATACGGTTCGTAATTGGTACGTGGGTCAAGACATGAAGACAATGCCTCGTGACATTAAATTTGACTTAATTGGATGCCTAATTATTTTTTTATGAATTAATTAGAATTTTTTTTAATTGAGTAAGGGTTTTTCTGTGCAGTGAAGTTACCATTTCGAATCTTTGATGCAGTGTGTTTTTTTTTAAAAATTGTAACTATTCATGTTTTGTAGCAGATATTCTTGATTAAACAGTTAATATTTAATTGTGTCCACTCTTGCTTAGCTCTCCAAATCGCCACAACACCAAGACGATGAACCCACGGAGATGGAGCTGAAATCAGTCTTGGAGCAGCAGGATCGCTTCATCAAACAGCTGCAGACACAGGCAGACGGTCTTAAGCGGCAACTCACCCAAGTCAGGTCACATCTAACTGCGGACGTTCAAGGGGACCTGTTGTCTGTTATGAAATCAAATCTCTCGGACATACAACAAGAGATGCTTCAGGTGGTTGCTGGCGTGTGTGAGGTGAACCAGGATTGTGTTGGTCTTAGAGCCGAGGTGAAGAAACACCGGGAAGATGTGGGCGGGATCTTGAGGAACAGGAAGTCAAGTTTGAGGCAAGAGGTCTTGACATTCGCTGAAAACTTTCTCAGAGATTTAATAGCATGTGAAGTGTCTTCTCCAAGTTCAGAAGAAACCTGCTATATCTTTGAACTTGACACACAAGAAAAATATAACAATAAACATGAACACGACACACAAGCAAAGTATAACAATAAACATGAACACGACACACAAGCAAAGTATAACAATAAACATGAACTTGACTCTCCAGATAAACAGCACCATCTCCCTGACATTGGATCTTCGTCTTCAATAGAACCTGCTGATTATACTACAGGGGAACAACTAGGTATGTCCACAAAGCAAGCAGAAAAACATGGCCATTTGGCCACACAACAAGCAGACAAGTCTGGCCACTTGGCCACACAAGCAGACAAGTCTGGCCACTTGGCCACACAAGCAGACAAACCTGGCCACTTGGCCGCACACCAAGCAGACAAACCTGGCCACTTGGCCACACAAGCAGACAAACCTGGCCACTTGGCCACACAAGCAGACAAACCTGGCCACTTGGCCACACAACAAGCAGACAAACCTGGCCACTTGGCCGCACACCAAGCAAACTTGGCCACACAAGCAGACAAACCTGGCCACTTGGCCACACAACAAGCAGACAAACCCGGCCACTTGGCCACACAACAAGCAGACAAACCTGGCCACTTGACCACACACCAAACAGACAAACCTGGTCTTCTGGCAACTCCGTCACTTAACCCTGTATGGATGCTGCCTAGACTAGTAATGGGCAGTTTGACCTCAACCGACCAGGCCTCAGTTTTGTTCCCCCACTCCTGGGCTTTCATCAACTTGTCAAACATCACCAAGTTTGTCCACACCTGCGACAGGTTCCACTCCTCCAAGTTTCTGCTGTGTGACTCGCCCCTGATGGTCCAACTACAACTGCTGTTTAAC